GGCTGGGCGCGGTGGCTCACGCCTGTAATCCCTGCACTTGGGGAGTCTGAGGTGGGTGGATAACCTGAGGTCAGGAATTCAAGACCAGCCTGGCCAACATGGCGAAACCCCATCTCTACTAAAAATACAAAAAATTAGCTGAGCATGGTGGTGGGCACCTGTAGTCCCAGCTACCTGAGAGACTGAGGTAGGAGAATTGCTCAAACCTGGGAGGCAGAGGTTGCAGTAAGCCAAGATCACACCATTGCACTCCAGCCTAGGCGACAGAGAGAGACTCTGTCTCAAAAATGAAAAAAAAGAAAGAAAGAGAAAGAAAGAAAGAAAGAAAGAAAGAAAGAAAGAAAGAAAGAAAGAAAGAAAGAAAGAAAGAAAGAAAGAAAGAAAAGAGAAAGAAAGAGAAGGAAGGAAGGAAAGAAGGAAAGAAAGAAAGAGAGAAAGAGAAAGAAAGAAATGTGTTTTAGCCAGCCTGTAATTGAGAAAAATAGAAAATCTTCTACCTTTAACCCAAATTAACATATAGTCAAAATGTATGGCTGATGCAGTAACCAGCCTTTCTCTGAAATTAAAGACCGTCTCCATCCTTTGTATTGACAGACACTGCCACGGCCAGGCAGGAGAGCTGGGAGGCCTTGACCTCAGGGTCCCTGACTCAGTAGCCATGTGGTCCAGAAGGTCTCAGCCAATGTCTTTGTCCTGCCCCCAGATCAAGTCAATCAGAATCTCTGGATGGAAGAGGTCAGGCATTTTAAAAAAAAAATCTCCTGAAATCAGCCTAATGAGGACACATATCTAGTTCAATTCCATCGTTTTATAAAACTTGAGGCTTTAGGGAGGGGAGTTCCCTTGACATAGGGCCTCCCAACAACTTTATAGGAAAACTGACTCAACTATGGAAGACTTGAATTCAGCCTTGAATTTTCAAGTAATTGTCCTTGATTCTGTAGTGTTCTAGTTGGTCAGGCCCAGAAGTGACAGAAGAAGCCACATTCCTCTTAAGCCTTGCTTGTCTTCCCTCTCTGTGCTTTTCTCTCCCATCTCAGCCACTCCACCTCCTGGTCACCTGGGCACTGCCTCCTAATTGAACAAAAGCCTCACTTAAACATGAACCCAGGCCTGGCTTTCCTAATCCACGGCCCCTGCCTTGTGCTGTATAAATGAGCCAAAGATGGCCTCTGTGTGCTGGCCCCTTGATTATTAATTTCTTCACTGCAGCCTGAGACTAGACCTGAAATACCCCACCAAGCCAAACTCAAATGCCTGCACATCCATTTGTTTTACACATAGCCTAAACAAGCCTATTTTAAGCCATTTAGAACCTTCCTGCTCTGCATACTTCATGAAAGTATACCCAATATCTGCTGGCCAAGGATAAGCCCCAAGCCAGAAGGGCCCCAAGCCACTGCAGCCCACAGGAGCTCTCTGATCCACAGATTCCCTGCCATGCTGCTGGGTGATTTCTGGCCATGTAAGCCACCTTTCCAATTCTCTTCTTTCCTGGGAGTTCTCTTCTTCCCTTCGGAGTAAGGACCTCATCTCCACGCTATAACCTCCTTGATGGACTCCTGTTGTGAAGGACCTTCTCCAGTGCAAACCTGTTGAAGCATTACTCAGAAAGCCTGTGTGTGCTACTGCCACCTCGTGGTCATATCTTTTTCCTTAACCCCCAAATCTCTGGAAAATCCTTCACTCTGGGCCTTTCCCCTCTTCTAGCCTTCCTTCAAAAAATTCCGAGTCCCCAGTCTTCTCAAATTTGCTGGCCAGTCTAGTAAATTAGTCCCTATTGATACATCAGTGGCTAAGTCATTTGTTTAGCAAATATTCGCTGCGCACCCAGTATATTGCAAGCATCAGCCTTGGCACTTGAGATGCACTGTAGAAGAAAGCAGGCAAAAACACCTGCATGGGTTGAGCTGACATTCTAGCAGCATCATGGTAGTTTAAAGTTTTCCTTCTTAGGAATATTTTACGGAATACTTAAAATGAAAGTTAAAAAGTGTGGTTTTTCTATTTGTTTGAGATAGGGTGTCACCCTGTCACCCAGGCTGGGTGCAGTGTGGCATGATCTTGGCTCACCACAACTGTCACCTCCCAGGTCTGAGTGATTCTTATGCCTCAGCCTCTAAAGTAGTGATGATTACAGGTGTGTACCACCATGCCCAGCTAATTTTTTTGCATTTTCAGCAGAGACAGGGTTTTGCCATGTTGGTCAGGCTGGTCTTGAACTCCTGGCCTCAACTACTCTGCCCACTTCAGCCTACCAGAGTGCTGGGATTACAGGTATGAGACCCCATGGCCTGCTAGGAAGTGTTAAGAAGGCAGTTTTTGGTGTCCTCAATGGGCTAGTGGGATAGAGAGTTGGGACATGGGCTAGGTTTACAGTTAGGAGAACTCCTTTATGCTAGTGCATATGCTAGAGGTCATGCACTGTGTGACTGATGCATTTTAACACCGTGCTTCTCAAATTTAACGTGCCTGGGAGGTCTGGTTAAGATGATGACCCTAAATCAGTAAGTCAAGCCTGAGATCTGAGAATTTGCGCTTTAACTCTAGAAGCATGGTGATGCTGCTGATGCATGAACCACACTTGGACAAATGAGGCTCTCAAGCAGATCCCTTTGAGCACTGACTCTTTTAGGACTAATAATAATAATATATGCTACTCATCACAGAAAACTATTGCAAAGATTAAGTAACTTTGCAATAACTCAGCATTCTCTATTATTTGTATTTTGTGATGAGAAAACTAAAGCTCCGAGGTGTTGACTAGCTTGCTTATGAGCACACATTGCACACAGGAAAGACAGAGTGTGACTGCAGAGTCCCAGAGCTCACCCATGTGACTGTTTTGCTGCCTTGCCTATTTCTAACCGGTAGCTTGCTCCTTGACCTAGTTTGCATAAAGAGTCTTAGCCTCTGGTTTACCTTCTGTAACATGAAGGGAGGCTGCATATAGAGCCTCACAAATGTTAGCTGCTGTTGTGGTCATTAAGCCTTGATGAGTTTTCCGCCTTGAACCTCCTCCTTTTACCAGGATTAAAAATATACCAACCACCCACGCCCTTTTATCACTCACACAGCACTTGAAGTATGTCATTACATTCCATCCCTGTATTTATTGTCCACGTGGGGCAGGTGTGGCTACACCCTTTTTTTTTTTTGAGATGGAGTCTCACTCTGTCACCCAGGCTGGAGTGCAGTGGTGCACACTCAGCTCACTGCAACCTCCGCCTCCTGGGTTCAAGTGATTCTCCGGCCTCAGCCTCCCAAGTAGCTGGGACTACAGGTGCAGGCCACCATGCCCAGCTAATTTTTGTATTTTTAGTACAGACAGGAGTTTGCAATATTGGCCAGGCTGGTCTCAAACTCCTAACCTCAGGTGATCTACCTGACTCAGCCTCCCAAAGTACCGAGATTACAGGAGTGAGCCACCGTGCCCAGTGGGCTACTCCCATTTTTTATACACAAGGAGGAGAAAGCTCAGAGATGTTGGGTGACCTCATCAGCTGATCTAGAGAAGACCTTAAACATTTTCTCCAGTTCGTTTCCCTTTAGCCTGCTTAGCTTAGTTTCCTTTTAGCAATGAAGTCTCCTTTTCAACCAAAGTCCCATAGGAAGTACAGGTTGTAAAGAAGAGAAAAGCAGAGGGCTCTGTTGGGAACAGGACTCAAGGGATGAATCCTATTCCATTTAGCCTCTGTAGGGTTTCCCATTTCCAGAGCCCTCAGAGAGAAGGGTCCAAGTAGCTCTGTTTGGAAAGTCCCCATTCAAGTCAACAGTCCCCTTGAACAAGTGAGGAACAGGCTCCCAAAAATGTGGTGACTTAGCCAAAATCAGACAACATGTACATGGCCCCACCAAGGCCTGCCTCTTGGACTCCGAAGACCAAGCCCAGAATCCAAAATAAATAACCTGGGCAGGAAAAAGGACCACACTCCTCACTTGCCTGACTGTTCACTAAGGTATGTTTGATAAGTGGTCACTCTCGGTATTGCGCTCCCACCTATGGGAGTGCATTATTTTTTTTTTTGTGTGAGCAACATGGCTGTTTATTCACCTGGGTACAGGTGGGCTAAGGCTGAAAGGGCATTAGCAAAGGGCACTGGGATAGGAGTTTGTTTTATAGCCTTGGGGTGGGAAGTGGAAAGTTACAGAGTAAGATCAGTTACAGTGGTGGGGGTAGGGGCAAGGAGTATACATTACCATAAGTTAGTTACAATGGCGGGTGGGATAAGAGTATTATCATAATAACAGTTAAGATGGCAGGGTGGGGCCAAATTCAATATTCCACTCACTAATCTCATAATCTTCCAGATGCTCCTTTCCTTACACCCTGATTGACAAGGGGGAGGGCAAGTCTTTTTATTTCCCAGATATTGTGAAATAAAATATACATACAAAAAACTGCCTAACTACATCTATGCCAAGAAATAGAATGTTGTCTGGACCGTAAAAGCCTCCAGGTGCTCCTGCCTGCCACTCTGTCTCCCGGGGGCCAAGCTTCACCAGGCCTTCAGAGAGAGCAAAACCTTACTTCCCTCTGCGTCACCTGTTTCCACAGCCCTCCACACGACAGCTCCATGTTGCCTGTTTTGAACCTTATAGAAATGGAATCATACTCTGCATGCTTTTGTGATTCTCGTACCCACATCATGTTTGTAAGATTCATCTGTCTTGTGAGGTGCAGCTGGCTGTAATTCATTCATTTTTTTCCTGCAAGGAGCATTGTGTTGTGTGCAGATATGTGATATACGAATTCATTCTTCTGTTATGGGTGCTTGGGTTGTCTCCAGTAGAGGCTATTGTGAACAATGCTGCTCCACATCTTTTTTGCAGGGAGATTTGCTCTCATGTTATCCAGGGAGAGTGAGACTAAAGGAAGGAAAGAACTTTCAGAGAAGAAGGCCTCAGCCTCTGAGGTGAGAAAGACACGTTGGTCTTTCAATTTCCCCAGCACTCTATACCCCAAGCCTGTCAAGGCCAAGGACATAGTCAACAATATAGGCATTTCCAAGGTTTTATTGTAAAACAGAGCTGAAGTCACAGGGAGTAGGAAACTTTGCACCTAACATATACAGCACTCATTCGCATATACAGCACTAATTCGCTGAGTACCTGCCAAGAGCGAGGCTAGGTACTCGGCCCTGCAGGGAACTGAGACACATACAAGTCATGCTCCCGGCTCTGTAGAGCTCCCAGCCTAGTGAGGAAGACAGGCAGAGCCACAGCCCTCTTTCATACAAGTCTCGAAGTGCCAGAAGCTCTTCAATGTCAAGGAGCAACTTGTTCTTTCCAGCAGAGGAGGAAAGAACTCCCAGGAGCCACATTTGCTCAGAGCCTTTGGAGTTGATAGGAGGTAAAGTACTGTGGGCAACTGCAAAAAATCTGGAGTGGAGATGGAGCTCGGAGCCTGGGCAGCAGCGCCTGGACAGAGGAGTCCAGATAATGGAAGTGTTTTAAAGGGCAAAAAAATACATATATATGGCGCCAACATGGTTCCGTAACACATAATTTTTACAAGTTTGTACATTACAAAAAGATGAATAAAAGGGAAAAGCTATCATCTACTTTTACCATCATTTCACATATGCAGGAATATTTTAAGCTCTCAGCCTCTCCCAGAAAGAACATCGTCTCCAAATGAAGGGCTCTCCTTACATGGACTTAAAAAAATCATGAAATTCTTAATTTTCATTTTCCACAAACCTTTAAAAAACCTTCCTCATGGACTGGCATTTGTTTGTAAAACAGGGTGTTGGAGCCATTGGGTGGGGGGTCAGCAAGTGGCCTGATGGATCTGGGGCATGGGTATGTGGATTGAGGGAGGAGGAGGCGGTGGGGAGAGGAGAGCAGAGGGAGTCCAGGCTGGGCGGGTGGTTGGGGTTTGATCCTGAACACAGAGGTGACATGGAAGGGCTTTGCGCAGGGGCTGCTGTGCTCCGATTCACACTTTGGAAAGACTATTCTGGAAGCAGCATGGAGGTTGGTCAGTTGAAGAGGCTGGAGGCAGAGTCCTGCGACTGAACTCTGGTGCCTCCTTCTCAGGGTCTACCCTGCAATGGCTGCTCCTCAGTGTCCCCTCAGCCAGGAACCCTGGGGCAGGGGAACTGGCAGTTCCTGCAGTCCTTGCCATGCTAGGATGGGAACAGGCAGGTCTGGGCAGTACTACTCATCCTCCTGGAAGTAGAATTTGGTGACCATGATGCCCTTGTTGGGCGTATTGGTGAGGCTGACGGGCTGGTCGGCATCCATCGCCGTGCAGAGGAACCAGCCCCGGCAGGCAGCAGACTCGAAACTGGTCGTGGGGCCGCTGTCTGAGCGGATGAAGGTGAAACGCTCGTCCTGCTTTTTGTTCTTGCTCAGGTCAGTGATGTCAACTGCCTGGAAATCAAACAATGAGCAGGTGAGACCTAGGAAGTCCTGTGCTTCCTCCCTCTCCACCCATACCACGACACGGCCCTCTGGACAGCCCAGAGTTAGTACTGGGGAAAGGCTGTACCCTAAAAGCCCCCAGATGCTCCTGTCTGCCATTTTGTGGGACCCTGAGGCCCAAGTGTCTCAGGACAGCAAAGACACAAAGAGGCTGTCCCACTGTCACACCTTGACTTGGGAAATCTAGCCACTCTGGCCTCAGAGCAGTAAGTCTGGTAAATACACAGCACCGTCAGCAGAAGCCAAGGCCTGGAGAGTTGGTGTTCTGCCAGGGTTTGAGCCTCTGAGGAGACGGGATGGTGGTGTCTTACATGCAATGTCCTAGCCATCCCCTCTCCTCACAAAACAGGCAGTCACCCTCCACAACAGGTTTCCTGTCTACTGGCAAGGAATGTGACAGTGCCACAGTATGGCCACTCACGTTGAGGTTAAAATTGCATCCAGCGAACCCCTGGACAAAGCCATCTTTTCCCAGGGATTGATGTTATGTTATATTTAAACCCATTAACACAACATGAGATCAAGGAGCACAGGTCCCTGGGTGGGGCACCAACTAATCAATGTGATTGGAAGAGAAAGGTCCTGAGGATGGGCTTTGCTAAAAGAGGGCAGGTCCAAGTGGGTTAGGGGCCCTTGAGCAAGGGAGAAGCACGGAGATTCAGGTCCTGTGGTAGACCATTACAGTGGTGGCTCCCAGTGACCGTGCCACCTGGTGTGGCACACTTATGTAGTCCCTCTCACAAGGGTCTAGACTTAGCCACATGACTGGTTTGGCCAATAGGATGATGCAAGCAGAAGTTTAATAAGCGCCTGCACATTGAGGCTTGTCTTTTTGGAATAATCCTTTTTGGAAGTCAGCCGCCATGCTATAAGGAAGCCCAAGGTGACTCTTGAACACTGAGAGATCACATGGAAAAAAATCATGGAGAATGAGAGACCATTTTCAATGCTCAGTGCAAGCCAAGCTCTCTGCTGAATGCAGCTGCCAAAGTGACCACAGCATGTTCCACCACTTGGAACAGAACTACCCAGCTAATCCTGGTCAACCCATAGAATCATAAGAACAAATTGTGGTTGTTTTAAGCCACTGTGTTTTGGGGTGATTTGATATCCAAAACAGGTTTTTACCTCCAGCTGGAGTCTGGTCTCATCACCAGTCTTGACACAGGACAGGCACATCTTCCCTCCATGGATTCCCAAGAACAGAGAATGAGGCTCAATGTGTACCACATCTATCTTTTCTGAGGAAGAACAGAGGGAGGGTGGGGTTAACAGAAGAGGAGGCAGCAATAGTGAAGAGACCCTGGGTGTCTTTCTGTCTCCCCTGTTCCCCCAAAACTAAAATCCCAAGGTTAGAAGGGTAGAGAGCCCTCATTTTCCTGGTCTGCGTCTAAACAGAAGATTAAACCAAGCACACTATCCAGTTACTTCTAGAGGCCTGAGACTCCTAGAATTTGTTCCATGTGATTTCCATCCTTCCCTCACTTTCCCCAGGATATCTGTGCTCCAGGTCAATAGGTGTGCTGTCAGGGGCAGAGTAAATGGCACAAGGCCATGAGTGAGGCTCCACAGGAGCCTGGGGGTCTCTGAACCTCCTCTTTCCCTAAGAGGCCTCCCTGCTCTCATGTAGCAATAAAAATCTCAGCCTCCCCATGCTTCAGTGTGTTCATTAGGAGAACTACCAAGACAGGTATCATTTTCAGAGTGAGGCAGGGGAGGCAGAACAAGGTAAGAGGGAAGGTGGGCAGGTGGAGGTAATGCCTTCCTACAACACCAAAAAAGGGAGTGAAAACATCCTAGAAGGCTGGAGCTAAAAGAATCGCACATCCTGTTGTCCCACTGGCATCATCACACTAAAGGGAAAGCTGAGGAACAGAGTGGGTGAAGCTTCTCAAAGTTCATCCAGCTTGTTTAAAGTATAAACCAGAATATGGCAGAGTATGGTACCCAGGAATAAGAGACATAGTCCAGCCTTATACATGGTGGATTAATTTGGGATTGGGTTAGTGTTTGAACAACATAGGAACATGGAAGCTTTCATAGGCACCAGAGGAAGGAAAGGGTCAACCTTGCCTTCTGGTATTTGCCCTTCCCAGCTGTGGTCCTGGGACCACTGTGCCTATAGGCATTGACCCCTGACCTAGACTCTACCTCTCCATGTCCTCTTCAGGCTGCCCTCATATATGCCCATTAGTGGCCAGGCCCTCCCAGCTTCAAACTTGAGTACAAAGACCCAGCAAGGATTAGGACGTTGCACCCAGGGTTTGTGCTGGCAGGCCATGCTGCTGCAGACCGAGGGGCAAGGTGACCCGATGACCACACCCATTGGCTTTCCTGGCAACCACTCACCTTCTAAATAGACATTGGGTCCTTGCAGGTATCCAGCAACTAGTTGGTTGTTCCTCAGGTAGAAGGTCTTCTGGTTAATATCCCAGATTCTGAAAAGGCACAGGACTCCACTGCAGTGCACAGCCACCATGTGCCTAGCCTTGCACTTAGCACCTTCCTGTGTCCCCCAGAACTTGTCAAATTTGCATCTAACTCTTCCAGGGGTATGGTATTTTAGTATACCCATGGCATGCATAGATGAGAAGACCCAACCCTCTCAGCTGGTAAGCAGTGGACATGTATTCGACTCCCCTCCTCACTTACTTCCCATCTTAGATTCCCAGGGCAGGCACTTCTGTTTCAACAAAGCATGCTGTAGAGCAGCAACTTCCAAAGAAACTTTCTGGGATGCAAAATGTTCTATAGCTGCACTGCCCAATAGGGTGGCCACTAGCCACGTGTGGCTATTGCGCTCTTGATATGGATAGTGTGATCAAGGATCTGGATTTTAAATTTTCTTCTATTTTCACTCATTTCAGAGTAAATTTAAATAGCCACCTGAGACTAGTGGCTACCTCAGCACCTAGTTAGAAGTTTCCAGAGACAGAGCACCTTGCAGCTAACTCGCTCTGAGTCTTGGACCAGGAGGGTCTGTCCCTTTCCTCCATTAGCTGGTAATCTGCTCGGGGTCCTGTAGGGGCAGCTGCCCTTGGGAACAAGCCAGCTTCCTCTCTAGCTCAGCCAGTGACCTGGTTCTGGGTCCCAATCCTTTCTTCTTGGTAAAGGGCCTCTCTGGTTGAGAGCAGGGCTCAAACCTGTGAGATGTAGTAAACAGAGCCCCAGCCAGTATGACCTGAGACCTGCACCTCATCGTCTCACCTGTGAAGTGTGGCTAACTGCACCCACCTCATCAATTGGCTCTGAAGAGCCCACGCACTGGTTGAGGGGTGGCTGAGCAAACCAAAGTGCTTTGCATATGTGAGCATTGGCCCGTTTGTGATTATCCTAGTTTCTAGATTTAGCCTGAGTCTGGAAGGATTAAACACTGCCTCCTGGGGCCTCCAAGGGGATCTCTTGGAGCTTCTAGCTGATCAGAGCTGGCAGAGGCAATCCGGGGAAGCAGACAGTACCCATGTGTGGAAGGGAGAGGCCTGTCACTCACACACCCATAGAGCCTAACCTGCAGCCTCAGCCCAGACAAACATAAAAATCAAAAGAGGGGAAAAGTCAGCCCAATATGATTTCACTGTTGGAATGTCACATGGCAGAGGACACACATAACAGCCCTGTCATTTCTATTAGCATCACCTCTTTACAATAGTGATGATCTCACAAAGCCCCAATTCCATTTTCAAATCACAGTGGTTTTCAGGATCTTTACAATGCACAGAATACAGTTATGCTATTATCTATGCACCTAATTTTCACAACAACCCTGTAAGGCACACAGGGAGTTATTGTGAATCTCATTTCACAGATGGGAAAATCAAGGCCCCTGGAGAGTGGGACCTTCCAACATGTCAGTGCAGACAGGCATTGCTCACATCAGTCTGGGCCTTTGGGTTGTGCCCTGTCCCTGGTGCTTCTCTCTGCTTCTCTGGCAGCACATTCAGCCAGGCCTAAATCCCAGCCTCACTCCTTGGCATGCATTTATTACTAATTGAGTTGCTGAGTCTCTGGGAAAGTAAGCCAGCCCTCTGGTTGTAATATCTACATCCGGGATATTTTGAAATACAAGCCCTGAAGCCCATGCATGCAACAGCCTTTTTCTTGAATAATGGGCATCCCCTCCAGCCCAAATTCAGTTCTCAGGCCCTGCAGGGCCTGGCAGCCCCAGACAGCTCTGATGTATTTCCAGTCTCCAGCTGATCCACCCTCACTTCCTCCTCCTCAGGGTAGCCTTACCTGAAGGCTTGCATCTTGCAGGGTCTTTTCCCACAGGGGTGGCTGACTGTTTCTGAATGGAACAGGAAGAGGAGGAGAGGGATTAGGTGACTGCGGAGGCCCCTGCAGATTTCCATTCTGTGACTGCAGCAGGGCAGTGGACTGCCATTGTGGGCCCAGAGTTGTGGTTTATAAAGAAATAGTCACTCACCCAAGCTAGGCGACTGCCACCCTGTCGTACTCTGAGAAGCGGAAATACCCTCCTCAAATTTCCAAAAAGAGAAACCCTGCTGTTGTCACTTTCAACCCCGCTAAGTGTCGCAATGGAGTGTTGTAACTGATTCCCTCCCCTTTTTCCCCTGTGCAATTTCCCCAAAATTGAGATTTCTATTTCCCCTTCATTGAGTTCCTGGGAAGAAGAGCACAATGAAAACAGACCCCCTACTGTGCCTGACAGGTACCCAGAGTCTGTTTGTTGACTTTTTAAAAAACAGATTTGCGCAGAAAGGTCCCTTTTTCATAATAAAGTGGTAGGGATCCCTGCACACGGGGCAGTCTCGTGTTACTTTGTGTTCTTTGAAGGATGGACAGCCTTGGACCTTGGACCATAGATTGGCAAACATTCTGTAAAGGATGAGATAGTAAATATTTTAGGTTTTGTGGGTCACAATCAGTCAGCTCAGCTTCCTGTTTCACAAAAGGACATTGGCAATGCATAAATCAATAAGCCTAGCTGTGTTCCAATACGACTTTATTTGCAAAAGCAGAGGATGGACCAAATTTGGCCTGAGTCTGCTGACCCCTGCTGTAAAGTGAGTCCTTCCTGAGAAGTGCTTTGAAACCAACTCTTTTCCCATTATCTTACATCTTTAAAGTTATGGTCGGGGCTATGGCATAACCTCAGCCCTTGGACAGGAATGGGTCTAAATTCAACTTCTGCCACTTGCCATGTGCCACCCATGTGATCTAAAACAAGTGATTTCATTAGTTGGGTCTCTCTCTCTTCACTCTCAGAATGAGGGTGATCATGTCTTCTTCACACATGGAAGGAAGGAAGGAATAGAGAGAGGGAGAGAGAGAAGAACTAGGTATAGGGAGGAAGAAGAGCACTTCTGGTCTGTAGTGGGCCCTGACACACATTAACTTCCTTCCTTACGATTTTTTGTTTTTGAGACGGAGTCTTGCTCTATCACCCAGGCTGGAGTGCAGTGGTGCCATCTTGGCTCACTGCAACCTCCGCCTCCCAGGTTCAAGCAATTCTCCTGCCTCAGCCTCCCGAGTAGCTGGAACTACAGGCACATGCCACCACACCCGGCTAATCTTCTGTATTTTTATTAGAGACTGGGTTTCACCATATTGGCCAGGCTGGTCTTGAACTCTCCTGACCTCATGATCCATCTGCCTTGGCCTCCCAAAGTTCTGGGATTACAGGCGTGAGCCACCGTGTCCAGTTCCTTCCTTACAATATTCTAGACACTTAGGGAAAAGGTAAGCATGCTGCTATTTTATATGTAGGAAAAGGTTGAGGAGAGTTTCTGCATGATCTATGGGATCGACAGTGCCAGTGCAGAAACAGGTTATAGTGTTTTAGAGCTGGACAGGAACTTGGCAATCATCTTGTCCCAACCTGGCATTGTTTTCAAGAGGACTCAAATACTTAGACAAAAAAGCGATCTGTCCAAGGTCACACAGCTTGCTGATGGCAAAGGTATGCAGAGAAATCCAGGCCTTCTAACCTCTAGTCCCCCGCACTTGATTATTAACAAATGCTTCAGAAATGTTAAACCCTAATATTCAACACACTCTGGAAGTGCCAAATAAGTGGACAGGTTCATGTACATCACCTCCTGCAGCTAGTCCTCACAAAAACAAACAAACGAACCAACGAAATGGTTCCTTGGCATTAAAGGAAGACACTATTTCTCTAATGTGTTTCAAAAAGGATGGGTAAGCTAAGTGCGGTGGCTCACGCTGGTAATCCCAGCACTTTGGGCGGCCATGGTGGGTGGATCATCTGAGGTCAGGAGTTGAAGACCAGCCTGGCCAACACGGTGAAACCCCATCTCTACTAAAAATATAAAAATTAGCCAGGTATGATAGTGTGCACCTGTATTCCCAGCTACTTGGGAGGCTGAGGCAGGAGACTCACTTGAACCCAGGAGGTGGAGGTTACAGTGAGCCAAGATCATGCCACTGCACTCCAGTCTGGGTGACAGAGTAAGACGCCATCTTTAAAAAAAAAAAGTATGAGTAACTCACTTAAGGTCACAGCTTGGGAGGACAGTACAGGAATACAGACACAATGTCAAAATATTTACTACTATAGTGTTGATTTTGATGAGTCTGACTTTATTTTCAACCAACAAATCAGAATCTTTCTTTCAACCAACAAGTCTTTCAATCAACTAATCAGAATCAGACACCTTGTGTCCAAAGTGTTAATCCTTCAAAGGAGGAAAGCTATGAATGAATTTCCCAAAAGTTTGAAGAGCTTATCCTTCAGAGGAAATAGAACATTTCTGTAAAAAGTGTGTCACCTCCCTGGATGATGGGTTTGACAGGCAAAATGGCATGTTTGTATTCCTGTACTGTCCTCACAAGCTGTGTGACCTTGGGTGAGTCACCCATCCTTTTTGAAACACATTCAAGAAATAGTGTCTTCCTTTGAGAGCCAAGGACACATTTCGTTGGTTCGTTTGTTTGTTTTTGTGAGGACTAGCTGCAGGAGGTGATGTATATGAACCTGTCCACTTATTGCCACTTCCAGAGTGTGTTGAATATTAGGGTTTAACATTTCTGAAGCATTTGTTAATAATCAAGTGTACCACTTTATCATCACACCCTCTGAAAGAGAAGATAGCCAGCACCCGACTGGGGTAGGTTCTCTCCTATTTGTCTTTCTTCAGCCCTCCTGAATTGGAAAACCATATTTCTCTCAAAAGTGTCCTTACAGATTGCAGAAGAGAAGTGGTTTGCCAAGGTAGGGTGAAGAGATCCATCCTGGCCACTGCCCTCAGCCAATGTTTCAAGTAAAAAGTCCCACCCACACCGTGGCTCCTGGGTAAATGTTTCTCTGACCCCAGTCTGAATTCAGAGACAGAGTATTCTCCTGGAGAAAAGCCGCTCTGGGATCCTGGAACCTCCCTGCTCTCTGTCATTTCCCCACTGTGTCCTGAGAAGTGTCCCAGCATGTCCTTTCTCGATATGTAGGGGGTAAGGGTAGGGGTGGTCCCTGGGGCAGGAGTTATGGAGTCTAGGTCTGAATCCTCCTGTGTCATTTCCAAGCTGGGCCACCCCCCACAATGTGCAGAGCCTGTCTTGGTCTCAGTTTCATTATCTGATAGAGCTAATAACAGAAGCCACGTCATTGGCTGCTATAAGGATTGAATGAAATGCTGCACGTGATGAATCATGCCCTGACCTGGCACTAGGGGAATACTCACACAGTGGCTTTTGCGTATGCTTCTTTACGCAAGTAAAGTGGGAGAGATCAGGCACAATGCCCCAGTCCCTTGCCCCTGCCCTGCACTCCCAGCCTTCCTGCTCTGTATCCTGACTCACCCTCCTTTCCCAGTCCAGTCTCAAGCCTGCTCTGACTCCAAAGGAGGGGGCTGTTGATCAATGTGGCTTTAGGAGAGGAAGAAAAGGGACAGGGGAAGCTCTCTCTCTCTCCTCACGCTTCTGGCCACAAGTCCACTCTTGGTTCCGTCTTATCTCACCCAACGGTCGGCATCCTTATGATTTCTGCCCACAGGAAATTTCTGACTAAGCTTATTCTCAGTTCTGGGTCCTCAGCCCCTCATTGCCCCAATTCTGCCTCCTGGATGAAGCTTTAAGACCACAGCACATAAAGGACTCTGTCTTCCCAATCAGCACCCACAGCTTTCCTGGGAGCTCCTGGTCATCACAATTGCATCTAGTCCCTTCTACGTGCTGAGCACTGTGCTACCAGACACTATTGTGTAAGGTAGTGTCTAACAGGAGGATCTAAGCCCCATGTAAAGGGGTTTTGGTGAAGTAGAGAGATAGAGAAACCAGGCTGCTCATGTCTTAGGAAGGACACTGCACTGCTATAAGGAGACACATCTTGTATTGATGCCTATAAAGGTTTAGCACAGCCGTCCACATGGGAAGTGTTCAGTAGATGTTGGCTATTTCTCAATGTTGGTTAATTGCATCTTTCAGTTCTAGGATTTCAATTTGGTTCCTTTTTTGTATAGTTTTTAGTTCTCTGCCAAAAATGCCAATCTTTTGTTTTAAAATTTTACGCATATTTTCATAGCTTTTTTAAAGGCTGCCCATGATTTGAATCCCTGCTGGCTCTCCTTCTATAGCCTATTTCTCCCTAATACATGGGCCATCTTGCATTGTGCCTGATTCCGTTTTATGGACTGCTGAATACTATATATTAAACACCGTAGAAGTCATTCAAGGCCCTGGGTGATTGTTATCTGCATCCTGAAATGGTTCACTTTTGCTCCCACTGGAAAGGAGCCTTTCAACGGCAGGTAACCTCTACCCTACCAGGACTTGAGATCATTCAGAGGTGGGCTTCCGTACTTGCGAAGGCTGACACAGATTTCCAAACTGGCTGGGGATTATCAGGGACCCTCATTGTATGTAGGATATAAGGTACAAATTTTATCTCCCCCACCAAATTCCATGAATGCTCAAAAGCTCAGCTGACATTTTTGAAACCAGTAAATGCCCCCAGGAGTAAAGGGTCCCAGTGCTGGGCTCCATCTCACTGGGTTCAGGCAGTTCCTCACATCTTTGGCCATTCTCTGCTGCCTCCAAAGGGATCTTTTGGAAATATGTTTTGTCTAGCTTTTCTAGTTAATCACAGCAGGAGAGTTGGTTGTAAATAACCTAGGCCAGAGGTATCTGACATAATCTACTTTTTAAAAGTCTTATTGGCCAGGTGAGATGGCTCATGCCTTTAATCCTAGCACTTAGGCGGATCAGCTGAGGTAAGGAGTTCGAGACCAGCCTGGCCAAAGTGATGAAACCTCATCTCTACTAAAAATACAAAAATTAGCCAGGCACGGTGGCATGCCCCTATAATCTCATCTA